TGACCCCTTTGTGACTCAGTTCCTACAGCTCTCAAGTGGGGGCAATAATATTACTCACCTCCATACTTCACAAAGATGTTGCAAAGAATAATGTTTGTAATCTGCTCTGGAGTTCTCAGATGAAAGATGCGAATTAATATATGATGAAACATCACTACCCACTTATCTTCACATCATCTAAATGGGTTAAGCAAGTGAAGGATCAGCATCCCCGCAGTCTTGGCAGAAACTGTCATTATTTCCATTTGATGTGTGTTATACATACCCGAAGAGGTTGAGAACTGATCGGAGCAGCAGACGTGCTTCTGGGATAAATGAAAGCAAGCTGAGATATCAGATCGGCAAAGAGGTAGCTGATTTATTTATTTTCTTCTTCTTCTTTTTTTTCCTTTTCCATTCCTATTTGAGACATGGTATTTAAGAGGGAATGAGTGCAAGGAGAGAATCAGGGCATGGCTGAATCAACCTTTCCTCTTGGACATTCCTCTCAATTCTAAGGTATCAATATATGTGTATAATTTGTAGTCTCTGAATGAGCTCGTGTACAAATCCTCCTCTGGGTCTTTGCTTGCAGTCTCCTTTGCCAACAATCTTTTCCCTCTCCGTCTCCATTTATCTAGGCCAGCATAGAACTCCCCACCTCCACGAAACCTTCCTGGTCTAACTCCCTACCTGAACTTTTGTAATTAGCACATGTGTTAGAACTTATACTTTGGTGTTGGTCTTGCTTCCTAACAGACTTAACTCTACCAGGGCATATTTTATTTGCCCCTTTTCTTCATCTGGTACATGTCTTTGGGTACTGAACTTAATCAAATAAGTGCAAAGTAAATAAATGAATGGAATCTGTCAGCAAAATGTCAAGATTCTAATTCAGACCACACCAAAGCCACATCTGCTATTCTCACCACGCCATATGTGACCCTGTGAGGCAGATGTAGTGCAGAATAAAAATATTAAACAGGCAAAATTAAGGAAAACACAGACTAAATTAAAGAATAAACTTTCAACTCCTTTGGGTAAACACCAAGGGGCACAATTGCTGGATCATGTGGTAAGGTGTTTAATTTTGTAAGAAACTGCCAAACTGTCTTCCAAAGTGGCTGTATTGTTTTTCATTCCCACCAGCAATGAATGGGAGTTTCTGTTGCTCCATATCCTTGCCAGCATTTGACATCATCAGTATTTTGGATTTTGGCCATTTTAATAAGTATGTAGTATCTCATTGTTGTTTTAATTTGCAATTCCTTAATGACATAATCAAATGAGTTGAAAATGTATATCTACACAAAAATATGCACATAAGTATTTATAGCATCTTTATTTGTAATTGCTAAAATTTGGAAGCAACCAAGATGTCCTTTGGTAGGTGAACTAAATAAACTGTGGTACATCCAGGCAGTGGAATATTATTTAGCTCTAAAAAATGATTTACCAAGCCTCAAAAAGACATGGAGAAAACTTGAATGCATATTACTAAGTGATAGACGTCAATCTGAAAAGTCGTATGATTCCAACTATATAACATTCTGGAAAAGGCCAAACTATGGAGGCAGTAAAGGAATTCATGGTTGCCAGGGGTGAGCGGAGAGGCAGGAATGAACAGGGACAGCAGAGAGAATTTTTAGGGCTGTGGAACTACCACGTATGATACTATAATGGTGAATACATGTCGTTATGTATTTGTCAGAACCCACAGAATACACAATGCCAAGAGTGAAGCCTGATGTAAACTCTGGACTTTGGGTGATAATGACATGTCAACAGAGGTTCATCAGTTGTCACAGATCTACCACTTACTACTCCACGGGGGGATGCTGATAGTGGGGGAGGTTGTGTGATGCAAGGAGAATATAGGAAATCACTATCTCTTCTGCTCAATTTTGGTGTGAACCTAAAACTGTTCAAAAAATCAAATCTATTAAAAATTTTTGTTTTTAACTTTCAAACAATGCTCCAAAGGGAAATAGAAGATTTGACTTAGAGGATTGAAGGAAACTGCTATATACGTATAATACTATCTAGAAAGACTGAGTCACTTTAGAACCTGCTTATGCAATGATTTCTATAATATTTAAGAACAGGCTGATCAAGAAAAATATGCATATTTATGACATCTGTGCGCCTTCACCTATCAGTTACTTATTGCATTAAGCCCAGACTCAAATTCAAGACGTCCATGGAATGGCACTGATCTGTATTTCCTGATACATCTAACTCCCCTCTTCTTCCTTTGCATGCAGCCCGCATGCAGCAAAGGTGATGGACTTACTCTGAACAAGCCCGTGTGTTTCTTCTTCCTATGGCTCCCTTGCTTTGAATGCTCTTTCCTGTGGCCTCCTTCCAGTCTGGGCCCTAGCATCTCCACCTATTGAAAAACCTTTCCCGTCGTTTTCAAGGCCCTTCTCAAATGCTTCCTCCAGAAAGAGGCTCTCCTGGTCATAGAAATGCAACATCCCTCACAGATATTCCAAGTAAACCGGTAGAAGCAGTGTTAGCCTGGAAACTAGGATGCAGAATTGGGAGAGCAGCATTGCCTGGTCCAAATACTCACTTTTTACTAATTGCTTGGATTTAAGCAAATTATTTATTTTCCGCACTTGTGATTCCTTGTCTGCTAAGTGAAGATGACCATAGTAGTTCTGACCACAGAGGCCATTGTAAGCATCGTGCCATAGTGTGTGTAAAATGCTTACAATAGTGCCTGGTATATGCAAGAGTTCAGTAAATGTTGCTTGCTTTCCCATGGAATCTAGCCCTGTTTCTGGCTACGCTCGTGTTTGTAGACCAACAGTGCGAAACGAGAGAGAGCACTGCCCATGAGTCATGCTGCCTCAGAGGACTTGGATGTCTTACCATGCGAACTCCTTGAGGACGTGAAGAAACTCTCTCACTATATATTTCAAAGTCCTCAGTTCTACCATGTTGCTGAAAATGATTTTCTATGGGCTCTGAGTTTCTACAAAAGTTTATGTTCTTAGGCACTGATTTTGCTATTCAAATTTGGCTTATGTATTGTTGTGGCGTAACCAGATTCGTTTAATGGGGTAAGTTTGTGTGCAGGTTTTCCTATAACTCGTAGTCAATTACACGCTCATCTTAACCCCACAATGGTGCATGAGTTGCCAATTGTATTCGGGAACCTAACCAGAAAGAAACAGTGCAAGTATCGCCAATTATAGACAACAGAATGAAAACACTTCTCTCTCACCTGCATTCCAGCACTGGTATAGTTTTACCATTTCACATACTCACACTCTTTAATCCCCATCAGTGGAGACAAAGTTTGAAATTTTCTTGCTTTGTTTTTTTCTCTGCTAAACGTTTGAATGACCCTCTGCTAGAGCTCTAAAATGTTGACTTACTATTTTTGAGGTATACTTTTTTACTGAGGTATAATTCATATTCATAAAATTCATCCTTTAAAAAGTATATGGTTCACTGAATTTTAGTATAGTCACAAAATTGTGCAGCCATAACCACTGATTCCAGAAATTTTCATCTCCCTCGAAAGAAATCCCATACTCATCTTTTGAGCTTGTAATAAAATGTTAATTTTATTTTTATTTATCTGGTTAAATTGTGCTAATCATTTTTAGAAATTCAGAGAACAGCATATATATATTTTGTAATTACTATTACAATAGCTTACTATTTTTTATGTTTATCTTACTTATACTTTACCATTTGCTCAAGGATTTTTTGTGTGTATGTGTGAGGAAGATTGTCGCTGAGCTAACATCTGTGCCAGTCTTCCTCTGTTTTATGTGAGGTGCTGCCACAGTGTGGTTTGATGAGCTGTGCTAGGTCCGTGGCTAGAATCCGAACCTGTGAACCGTCGGGCTGCTGAAGCAGAGCATGCAAACTTAACCAGTACGCCACTGGGCTGGTCCCCATTTGTTCAAGGTTTTACACACACACACACACACGCACACACACTTTAGTCTTGGTCTTCGTAGGGTTACTAGCATCAGGTTGGGGATATCCGTGCCAACAGTTGTACACAGCTTGAAGGGGAGTGAGTGAACACAGTGAGGAGAAAAATAGCTCTCCTTTGTTGGAAACGTACTGTTTCGCAGGCACTATTCCTCACACAACAGTTTTAGGAGGTAAGTTCTATTATCATAACCTTTTTTTACATGTGACCAAATGGAGGCTTATGGAGTTTATGAAACTTGTTATCCTAAGGTGGCGTAACTAGAAAGCCCAGATGTGAACACAGGCCCTCCAAATTCACAGAACATGCCCTTGACCACTATGTTCTATCATCTGCTGTTAAATCAGATGTTTCGTTTAATTATACCAAGAGTACTTGATCAGTGCTGTATGATATATTTTCACGAATCCTCATTCAATTCCTTCGATTACCGAGTGAGAAGAGCCAGCTGGTGTAGGTTAAACGATCACACAGTTTGACCAATGCCAGTGGGCAGCTGGAATCCAGGGTTTTTCCCAGAGCCAAGGTCGATGTGTGTTGCCCTACATCACATTGGGATTTCTGACATTTATCTTAGCCTTCTGTGGCAGCTTTCATAATAAAAAACCACCTTCTACCATGTTTGAATCCCTACATCAGTCTGCGGATAGTAAATGTGACTTGATTTATATACGCAATCCCTCTGCTCAAAGCTTGTGTATTGAATGAATGCGTGAATAAATTAAAAAAAGAGTCTTACCATAGAGTCATTTGAATATTTTATTTCTAGACTCCCTTAACAATTTTTTTTTTTTAAAGATTGTCACCTGATCTAACATCTGTTGCCAATCATTTTTTTTCCTTCTTCCCTCCAAAGTCCCCCAGTACATGGTGGTATATTCTAGTTGTGAGTGCCTCTGGCTGTGCTAAGTGGGATGCCGCCTCAGCATGGCCTGATGAGCCATCCCACGTCTGCGCCCAGGATTTGAACCAGTGAAACCCTGGGCTGGTGAAGCAGAGGACATGAACTTAACCACTTGGCCACGGGCCGGCCTCATAGACCCCTTAAGAATATAACCACTAGTGATATTTTAGTGGAAGAAGACTGCATAAAATAGTTTGACTATACCTTTGTTCTTTCTCTGCGTGTTTTTCAAAAAAGTAAACCATTCCACGCATACATTAAGTAGAATGTTTTTGCATACACAAAGAAATGTGATTACAAATACCTTTGGAAGAGGATTAGTCATGATTTGTACCTTTTGTAGGCAAAAGAGCCGATAGATGGGGCCTTTCATTAATCAGATCAGCAGCTCTGTTAGCCTCCCCCGACCCCAGCTCCTTAGCCTCCGTGAATAAAGCAGTGGCCTGGGCGTTCTTGCACCCGCTCCCCACTCCTCAGAAGAGTCCTGCCAACTCTGCCTTGTCCTGTTGGATTTGCAGTCAGATGTCTCAGGCTGGCACTGGGCAGGCAATGAGTTCTTTCCCTGTAACTTGGGCACAAAAAGATCAGCATGGGAGCAGCCTCCTTTGGGACAGCTGCTCTGAGAGAATGCAGTAAGCAAGGAGCAGGAAGAAATTCCTCCGAGAAGAGGGTGACTCGTGGGAGGAGTTCAGTGTGCTAACTATTGTCATTTGCTGAGAGAAGGTGTGTACTTGAGGAGTCTTAACCTGGAGGATCCTTAACTCTTTCAGTCAGCTGGCGAGCAGTGGTGGCTCAGCAAGTTCGTCCTGGAAGCGTCTGCTCGGGAAGGTCAGGGCGGAGGCGTGGAATTGTTCTTTCATGGGGGACCGCTTTGAGAAGGGCCAGCACGCTTTGCTCAATGAAGGAGAAGAGAATGAGATGGTAAGATTCTAGCCACATTCCCCTCTTCCCATTCCCACACCCCAGCCTCCAACACACACACACACACACACACACACACGCGCGCTCAGACACACTCGCATACTTCCTTGCAATTTGACTCTGGTATTGTGTGAGAAAAGATAATGTCCAAGAATCTCTCTGTCCCACGCACGTGACCTCTAACAGGAGAAACTTGCTAGAATGAAAATATTGCATTTATTTTATCAGTAGTGTTTTCTTTTTAAGCAAAACAGAAAGGGAGAGAAGCATGATGGCACTTCACCGTGAGCTTTTGAGCCTTACCAGCATAGCACGTTCTGTTCAAAACTTCTCGTAATTTCTGCAAATCCCTAAACTGGGGAGCAGTGTATTACCTGACAGGATGAAGCGGGTCATCAATAGTGAAGGAGTGCCTCTGGTTCTTTGACCTTCTTCTCTTCTCACTTATCTGTATTCACAGAGACTGTTGGACAGGGAAAACATAAAATGGTAACAATTATCAGCCTACACACACATTTCTGTTTACTTCTAGAATTTTACTCGTAGCTCCCTAGTTATAGGGAGTGGTTACAGGAAACTTTGAGTAGTCCACTGTCTCTTTTATTTTAGATGTGTTCCCCTCTCGGGAACTGTAGGAAATTCAAAGATGATTCTTATGCTCTTACTGAATTTAAAGCTGTATTTCTCAATTACGATGTAATCAAGAGAGAGTTAGAAATGTGTGCTCTGTTTAATAAGGCCTTTCTGCTAATTGTATAAGCATCGTCTTTTACGCCAGTAATGGTGTAATTAAAATGTTGAAATGTGATGCTCTCATTCTATGATAGCATTTTATCTTCCTGGTATTAATATATAAATAACACACCCAAAAGACATTTGCTTAAAATATTTGCTTGGTTAATTGCATTAGTCCTGACTATTAAATTCTTTGTTCCTAAACTGGTCTTTCAAGTCTAATCTGCTTACCTGTTCCTATAGCAACAACATATTTTGGACCTTCAAGAGTAGAGCTCTTCTACTATCAGAGCTGAAAATATTATAAAGGAATAAAAGGCACCCAAATTTAAGTGGCTTTCTTAACCATCTCCTTACTTCTTTCAGATTTGACCACCAAATGACAATTGCCTTCAGGCCCTACACAAATGTCACCAGAAATGACCTTCTGACCTCATGTTGGATATCATGCTTATTTCTCCAGTGTTTTCTTTAGAGAGTGACTATTCTATTACTCTCTCTATTAAGTTGAAAATTTGATTCTCGTCTTGAATACTCTTCATCAGCAGGCAGAGTCTCCTTCCTTCTAATGGTTTTTTATCTTGCCTCAAATCCTCAGATCGAATTACACCCACTCTTTTCCTGTACTCTCATTTCTGCTCTTCGACAATTTGTCATTCGAGAGTCATTAAGAGTCATCTCCTCGCTAGCAGATGTTCCTAGTTTCAGGGAAACTACTATCTCTTCTCCAGCCTCCACATTCCAGCAAAGCAATTTTGTTAATAGTTCATCTTCATCATAGCAGCACCCGATGCACCAGGGTGTCAACTTAGTTTTGTACGCAGATGAAAGCCTGGTTAGGAGCGGGCCTTTGATATGGGAAGGGACACTGTGTTTTCTGGAGAGGAGTCATTTGGCCCGTTGCCTCCACGGAGGTGCCACAATTAGTATGCACTCTTGAGCTCCCCATCCTGTTCCGGCTGGAGAAGCCTGGCCACCTGCCCGCTGTGGTGTCGACACTCTGTCCTTTTTTTAACTCACTCCTCCGTCCCCTTCGCCCAGAGCAGTAAATCTCAAAAATTACCAAGCTATCTTAAATGCATTCCACATATTTTCATATTGATTCTTAGTTTACAAAATATTTTGTTGGCCACTAGCTACTTTAGCTTCCACTACACCCTGTGCAGCAGGTGCTGTGCTTCCATCTTTAAGGATGAGGAAATGGATGCTCTGAGAATTGGCTTGTCTAAGGTTACATAAGTCCAGGAGCTGAGGCAACACTTGCGTTAGTTTAAATTGGTAGCTTTTTTGTCTCTGGATCTGAACACAGCCCACTGATACCTTTTTTTCATTTCTTTCAAAGGACATTCTACTCTTAACAGGAGAACACACTTCCTCCCTTAGTAAAGCAAAGCTTAGGAGAGGGTCAGCTTTTCTCAGATTTCCCAGGATCTGTTCTGTTATGTACGATTTGTACTTCCTGAGTAAGTCTGTCTCCTCTGACTTCAATGTGAATCCCTCTGGAAAACCAAGATTGTCTAGAAATGTGTCGCATCACAGTGTTTAAAGTATTTTCCTTTATAATATATAGTTTGGACCTTTGCAGAAGTCATTCCTCTGATAATAGAAATGATTTCAAATTTCAAGAGAAAACAACATTTTATGGTTTAGTCCTCATGTCAGGTAAAGAATGGGAGTATTTCCAGGCTTAAAGATGCCTGGGACTATTTTCCATTCTAGAATAAAAGAAATAAGAACTAAAGAGCAATTCTAAGTGATCTGAAAGTAATATCTTTAAGTGTAAAACGAGACAGGAGCCTATGGAAGAAAGAATTTTTTGGAAGGACAAGATTGGCAAGGGGAGGAAGTGACACTCACAGAAGGTTCACCTAGATGACTGCCCCAGAAAGGCCTCGAAGAGGAGACTGAATCCCAGACAGCACAATGACTGGACCAGAGGCCCGGCTCTCACTAGCCGCTTGCCATCTCTAGCCTCGGTTTTCCTATCTGTAAAATAGGAATGGTCCTTCTGACCCTACATGTCTCACAAAGCTCTTATGAGAATCAACAGAGATAACCTATATGGAAGTGTGTCGGGAAGTATAAAATTCTGGCGATGTATAAGCTGCTATTATCTAAACAGAGATAGGAGTCAGGGCTTTAGCAATTAACCAATTGAATGAATACCAGCCCCCCAAAATGAATTCATCTCTTTTCATTAAATAATGACAAGTGGGGAATGTATACTTGCATTCACAAGCTGTAGAGACCACTTATAAATGGAGAGGAGCTGAATTATCTTATACCCTGCCTTGTTCTGCTTACTTTGGGAAAGGACCTACATGTCTTGGGACTCAGTTTCCTTATTTATAAAGTGAGAGTATCAGATGGCCTGGGAGTTCACATTCCTTTGAATTATGATGTTACATATTTATATTGTGAAAAGTCTTAGAAACGCTGAGTGCTCATTTCCTCATACCATGACTGATCAAAGATATCATGGTTTAATTGATTTGAACAATGCCCGCCATTATCTTACTTACACCCTAATGCAATCATACTCCTTTTGGGGAAGTGTTTGTTCTAGTGAGACTTTTTTTAAAAGTAACATTCCCTGATTTTTCTTCTTTTCTAGGTCTTAGCAAATGGGGAAAAAAACTCTTGAATTTTTTTTCTGATTATAAAGGTAGCATATGTTTGTTGTAAAAACATTGAAATGACATATAAAGGTCTAAAGAATGAAGTAAATATGATTCATGAACTTTCCACCCAGACTTCTTCCAGACTTATAAGAAAGGCATACACCAAACTTGTTACTTTCTAATTATTTACTACATTTTAATATTATCTATGCTCTTGCAATCATTTACATCTGTTATGTCTGTATTATGGAAATATTACATAATGCTGTGCTACTGTACATCTCATCCCACCTCTGCACCCAGTGATGTCACATTATTAGCTGGAAGTGAATAATATTGGGAGGATTTATGCCATAGAAATCAGTAAATGCAACACGGACTTCCAGTCTGCCCCACCTGAAGGCTGGTTTTAAGTATTTACCAGCACATCACAAAACATACTTCTTTAAGACTTCTCTTTTCTTTCCCCTATACATATCCAAATATAATATCCTTATTGGATTCAGATATCATCCATTTATTTGCAATATGCATGATGCCGAAACAAAATAAAATCAATTACAATCTAATCTTAAAAGAATGCACACACATACTCATAAATATGACTCTGTTTTTAACAAAAAATGGGGTCATTTCATCTATACTCCTTTTTTAAGCTGGCCTTTTCATTACACCTAAAAATACACATGTGTGTATTTTCCTTTTGATAATTATAGTTCCGCATAGCCATTTTAATGTTTAAATTGTGTTTAGATGAACTGTGCTATATTAAGGAAATCTCTTATGATGCACACTTATGTTATTTCTACACTTTTTTTGGCTGTGATGGATAACTTAATTCATGTATTTTTTCGTATCTGTCAGATTATTTCCTCAGGATAAAGTTCTAGAAATAGCATTGCTACATCAAAGGGGATGTGCGTTTTAAATTTTGATTGATATGTAATGCCAAATTGCCCTCCAGAAGACTGTGGATGTACCGATTTATACTCTGACTAGCAATCTTTTGAGAATATTTGCTTTCTCCACTATGCTTGCCAATGTTGAACATTATCAATCTTTTTAACTTTGGCTCATCTGGTAAGTGAAAGTGATACTTTATGGATGTATTACTTTTGCATTTCCCTAATTTGAAGTTGAATACGTCTCTTTATATGTGTATTGGCATTTATATTTTTTCCGACTAAAATCTCTTAATGTTATCACTGATGTTGTATCAACTAGTAGACTGGGTAACTAAAAAGTAGTGAATGTAGAAAAGCAACAGGAACTCTTTTTGAACTCCATGTGATTTCTGAGAACAGCAAGAAGTTAGTGCTGCAACGGGCCCCTAACATGGCAGCAGAGTGGTGTGTGGTCTTTGCCACATTGGAAGTCCTGCCGTGTCTTCAGCATGAGCTGGGGACATCTGTCCTCACCAATTATTTGGCTCACTTTGATAGCTGATGCTCATCTTTTCTTCTCTAACACCAGGGAGCAAAAGCACCTCCCCCACCTCAATAGCCACTTATTTATTATGCTCCATGAGCACCTCCGAATTGGTTGCCAATGTTAACTAGTGAACCCACAGATCTCATAGTGGAGGAATTGTGTTCAGACTGAGACATTTTGTCAATTGAAATGTTCAGGAAGCTGGGCCACTGG